AAAGTTGAGGCGTCCCGATTGGCCCTGCACTCAATATAACTTCTCCCTTACCGCGTACAAATGCCCGACGAGGCCTTCCGAAAGAATCCCTATAAATGACTTCTATAGCTGACATATCTGCATTAGAGAATGGCTTATAGGTAATTATTATATCAAACAAATCAAACGGAAATATATAGGGAAATACCACAAATGCAACATACTTGATTTACTGGAAGAGAAGAGGATCTTCTCTACTGAGGCATGCACTGCAACTCGCAAGTTTTTAGGGTTTCCTTTATTAAGCAGTTCATCAGCTGCATGTCTCGTTCCATTATTGTCAAAAGTTGAGCCGGTATGTCTAGTTCCCCGTATGTGATCTAAACTAAATCCATTGGTTGGAAGAAAACCAACCTCCAAGTATGCCTTTCCTATAACAGATTGCCAAGACTGAGATTTTGGCTTGACCACAAGAGTGTCCTCAACCCACTGATATGCCTTATTAACCAAATTCAAGTCCCAATTAACTCTTGATTGACTATAGAATGAGGTGTTAGCTCTGGCGTGGACGCCGGCACCGATGGTGCTGGTTCCGCCGAGGACCCTGCCTCTTACATTATCAATACCATCTTGGGACACGAACCTTTCGACTGGTGTCTTTCCATCATCTTCCTGCTGCAGATTAGCTGCAAACCCGGACGAAGTCAAGGTGTTCGGATAGTCTATGGGAAGACTGCCCCTTTCGAGTGTTAGCCTACACCTCAGACCACCTGATTAAAGCTCTTCTGCCCATGTGCTGTTAGTTGTATATTGTGAGCTGGCATGTTAGTTACGATTACTAGTTAGTTGGTAGTCTGTTAAGTTAATCAGCTGGTTAGTGTTAATTAAGCTACTGATCTACATGTATGTATATATAAGCTGGTACTGTTTCTTTGAGATAATAATGAAAAATATTCCTTCAATATCAAATCTCTCTCTCAAACTCTCTCTTCTACCTTCTGTGATTGCTAAGCTTGATTGAGCTCTTTAATGGAGTCCTAGAGGAAAGCTTTCATCGAGGAGGAGCACCTTGTATTTTGCTGATAAAGTTGCTGCCAATGGACACCCTGATGTTCCTCCACCAACTACAATGTAGTCATATGATCCTTCCAACCTTCGATCAGTGGCGTTGTGCACAAATTTCAAGTAGCGAAAATCTGCGATATGTGAAAGAGATGAAGATTATTGTTTTGAAGTATATACATGAACAAGTGTACTTGCATTGATAATATAAAGCACATGCATTGATAAAAAAATTATAAAAAATTATTGGTCATGACCATTGGATGTCAAACCATTGAAACCCATCCTTTAAAAAAAAATGTAGTCACCTTTTCAAATGTTTAGTGTTGTTTAAAAAAATTACAAAAAATTCTTGGTCATGGAATATTGTCTATAAATAGTAATTTAATTAAATTAAACAATACATAGTTGTGGAATGTATGTGTTGTACAATACTTTTTCTCAAAATAATAAAATATGAAGGACCCTAAAATATAGCTCTACATGACTGGAAATGGAAAAATTTAACCCTACACTGTTCTTTAAAAAATTAATATTTTGGAGGGCTAAATTTTTAGCCCTGGACTACATTTAGCCCTATAACTGGAGATGGCCTAACAATACCTAACTTCTATGTATTCTATTATTTTGTCATTCATTTTATATTATATTTTAATATTTTGGTTATTGTAAATTTTAAGGCTCAAAACTTTCAACATGTTGAGAATTTGAGAATAACAAACACTTGAGTTGCATTGCACCAGGCACCATGTGCAAAGAATACACATCATAGTTTTATGCTTTCAATTTTAGCTTCTATAATTTGGGCTAAATTATACTTTAGTGTCAGTAGTTTGAAGGTTTAATTACACCAATGCTCCTTGAATATATATATTTTTATTTATTTTAATTTTTAGTTATTTTAATTATATTTTTATTCATGTTGAGGTGGACTCCACTTGCCACATCACCCACTCAATTGGTGGATTCTGATCCATGTGCACGAAATTACAAAAACACCCCTGCCACGTCATCAAAGTTAACAGATTTTTGGATGAGACGGCAAGGGACAAAGTCGGTAAGCAAACCTCGTAGGCTATTTTGAATTTAAGGGGGCAAAGTGAGATTTGATCGAAGTTTCAGAGAGAACTAATATGATGAAGCCTAATTTCAATTTTAGTCATTTTACCATTATAATTTGTTAACCATTACAAATCAAGGACACATCACAATTACGTTAATTGACGGAGGTTGAGTTTTCAGTCTTTTGACATATTATAATGTCAAAATCTTTTAAGAAATATAAAATTAAGAAATTAAAAGCTAAAACAGCCCGGCAAGGGGGAAAAAAAACAACCGAATTAAAGTTTTGCGATGCGGCAATGGCAGCAAGCTAGCTTTGGCGCTCTCTGTATTGAAGGGTTTATCATCTATTCAGATGTTTCATGGTCTAATTTGATCGTGGAAGTCCTCTCCAACACAAAAAAAATTTATCTGAAAATTCTTAAGCCTATGTTTTTCAAAGTTCTTACAAATGGCCACCTAGTTGGGCTATGCAAAAATTTTGATTTAAGAAAAAGCAGAAGACTGAAATAAATGAAATTTGGCCTTTATCCAATTGACTAGTTAGACATTGGCTTACCTAACTAATGACAAGTGTAGCCCAAAACCCTATATTAAATTTTTTTAAAATAAATTATTTGTTATAATATAATTAAATTATATAGATATATTATCGAATGAGATACCAGTGGATACATGACTGTTGGGTACAAATGTCAATTTACTTATTGAAAAATATTATTACTATTCGGAAGTTTGAAAGATATTTTGATTGAAATTTTGTTTTTGACACCTCCTCACATGGAGGAAAAAAAAAAAGAAAAAACTTATCTCGTTTATATCGCCTGATCTTTTTACTTTAAATTATTTAAAATTTCCCCACCTAAATTTTTCCTTCTTTGTATATATGTATTCAATTAATTTCTTTTAACCGATGTTAGAGGCCTAATCACCCCCACCTAAATTTTTGACCCCACCCCTAAAGTTAGTATGGCGCCCCACCTCTTTTACTTAATTTTATCACATAATTTCTTGGTTTATTTATGTATATGCCTCCTACACTGTTAAAACAGTCTCAGATTACCACTTGTTCTTTGAAACGTGTCTCAATATACCACTTACACTTTCAATAAGTGTCTCACGTTAGCTATTCCGTTAGATTTGAGAGAAGTTCCGTTAGCTGATGTGGCACCAAATAGCTCGCCATCTAAAGGTGACAATTTACTAACCACACATAATTACTTAATTTTGTTACATAATATCCCCACCTTTTCACAATAGCAAGGCAGCCCCCAGTAGGTGGGTGGAACATCACAAAGTCACACATTGAAAAACTTGTCACGTAATCTTACCACCTAAGGAGGTGAAAAGTTTATCACCTAATTTATTGAGAAACTTAATGGTCTGTTTTTATCAAAGAATCATGAGGTGGACTGTTACACAAGGTGGTGGTGGCACCATTTCTTGTTTTGCCTTACTTACGACCCGTTTGGATCCAAGGATTTGGATTGAAGCCTCAAATCTATGCATTTCAAATAAAGATGCATTTTTTTATATATAGTACAAGTGATAGTCTAAACTAGAGAGGAGAGGGATTTCTCTCACACACACAAATGATGGCATGATGGTTCGAACCTGAGACCTCTTGTCTACAAATCAAGGCCCTTTTCCACTAGGCTAGATCCCGTTGCAAAACAAATTCAAGCTATGAAATTCAATTTCAGATTGTAAACAATCATTTAAAAGACACCATCTGGATTCACATACCCAAACAAAACACAAAGATAAGCATCTCATGAATCACGTTTCAACACTGATATGTAGCTTTATTAGTTAGCGCTCTATAGTAACTTTCAGAGATCTGTGGCAGTCAAAAAGTGTACCACTGTGCATGACGACTCCTATGTGAATCGAATCTGCAACAACATGATGAAGTCCAGCGAAGTATATAACTTTCTTGTATAAATAATAAACAATGATACAAAGGCATTTAGAAAAGTATTTTTATTTAGAGTATACGTAACTGTTTTTAGACAAGAAGCACAAGGAACTTTACAGGAGAACAAAGTGATAACTTGATATGTAATTATTCTAGCGCAATTCATGAATCACATTGCATGAGTGAGTGTATATATGCCATATGGAGAGAAACTGAACTTGCATCTTCAAGTCCACAACTGAGCTAGCACAAGCATGCGTTGCACGATTGTGCTTTTGATTGCTTTTGGATACAAGAGGTTTTTATCGCTTGGAACAAGCAATGCCTTCCTTCTCGGAAAATATATATTAGGAAGCACCCCTTTGGAAAGTAGGATAAAGAATAAGCTCATTACTTCCGGGATAATCTTTTGTCTGCCTTTTTTCTTTTTTTGTTTATTTATTTATTATTATTATTTTTAAATTTAGTTTAAACGGTCTAATAAGATACTTAATCAAAGTTAGTTCATTGGACAGAATTAATAAGATACCTAATAATAGCGAGCGAAAATTATATAAAGAAAATTTCAAATTAGTACACCACAATAAATGAAAACTAAAAGTTATGATTATCAAATTAGTCCTTATTTTTTGAATGGTTGATCTTTGAAGGAAAACTTAAAGAAGGAAAAAGGCCCTTGAATTTCATATTAGAGGTCTCACGTTCAAATTCCCATAACATTATTTGTGTGTTTGTGAGAAATCCATCACCCCTAAGTTTAGACTATGTACTTAAATATATATATATATATATATAAAAGAGGGGATGGTTGGATATATAATAATTCTCTAGAGTGGTATCACAAACTTTAAAGGTTTGCTATATATATATATATATATTGCATCACTCATACACTAGCTAGAGAAGGGCAGACATGGGTACAGAGGTTGAATCCCAAAATGCCATGGTTTCACAGGAGAAAATGAGCAATAGCCTGTTCGAAAACGCCATGAACGGCGACTGGGAAAAAGTTGTGGAGGTCTATGGATCATCACAGAGCTCAAAAGTTCAAGAGATGAGGATCACCAGAGCGGGGGACACTGCTCTACATATCGCTGCTTCGGATGGCGAAACAAAAATTGTGCGGCAGTTGTTACAGCTCATTGGAAACAATGCATCCAAGATATTGCAAATAAAAAACAAGAAAGGCAACACACCTCTCCACTTAGCTGCTGTAGTGGGGGATGTGGAAACGTGTCATGCAATGGCCACCAAAGACCCCGAAATCGTGTCATCTCTCAACAATGAGAATGAGACCCCTCTCTTCTTGGCAGCTCTTAATGGGCATGAGAAGGTTTTTCTTTGCCTTCATAGTCACTGTGTAGAAGGATGCTATTCATTTAGAGCAAGGAATGGTGATACCATTCTCCATGCAGCTATGTCCGGTGAATACTTCAGTAAGTGTTTGGCCTACCCACTTCTTAAAGAGAGTTGCTATTTGTACCATCATATTTTTTTTGGGATGAATTTGTACCATTATATTGTTGATTACATCTCTAATACAAGTGAGTCCCATATACATTGGTGGGATTCACTTCGACAAAATGATCAATAAGTATTTTATATATATTAACTTAATATCATTCTTTATTATTAATATCCTTTTTAAATATATAGGTTTGGCATTCCAGATCATTCTGTGGTACCCAGAACTTGTCAATTATATTAATCAGAGTGGCTTCTCTCCCCTGCATATTCTAGCCAATACTCCATCAGCATTCAAAAGCAGTAGCCGCCTTAGACCGTTAGATCGTCTCATATACCAATGTAAGATTACCGCTATATATCGATTTTATTTTTTTATTTTTTGGTCTATGATCAAGCTTTTGGATGTTTAATTCATGTAATACAATGCTAATGCATTTGCACTTGGCAGTTTCATGTCTCACTTGGTAATTACTAGGCTTTCAGGGGACAAAATTATTAAAAAAGAGAACTATGATGATATGACCTTTTTAAGTATGTATACATCATATATGTACCTGCTTTTTGAAGAGAAAATAAAAAAAAATATAGTTGTTTGATCATACAATCAGTAAATCTAATAGCGGAGTTAGAATTGTAAAATTGAGAGGACGAAATAGAAAATATAAGTATACTCTATATCTTGCAACTGTAGAGACCTTGGTATATCTTGCAACTCTACTTCTGTCCAAATAAGTTTTTATATTTCATTTATCAGGTTTGATTGTTGAAGAGCTTAAAGGGGGAAAAGAGGACAAAAAGAGTATTTGTCCCATCGAGAAAAGAGGAAGAAATACCATCGATACGGGTTCTGAATTTCCTCAAGCATTAAGTGAGTGCTCGTCACTTATCCAATTTATACGTTGCTTTTTCGTCACCACAAGTCTAATATAACATAGTTTCTCCATTTCCAGCTAAATCATGGGGAAATGGGATGTGCTCTTCTCTATGTCTAGCTAAGAGAGGAAATAAAAAGGAAGATGAAGAGAATCCCCAACAAGAGAGCAGCTCAATGCCAGGTAAAGTTTGGTAACTATAATGTCCCTTGAACTTGTAGTGAACCTTATCACTTCTCATGAATGGTGTATCCACCCTTAAACTGTAAAATACATCCCTTAAATAGAGAAAATAAACCTAAACAGAAGCACACAAGCAAAAAAAAAAAAAAAGAAGAAGAAGTCATTTTCACTATTTTGAAAACAAAGAACAAAATTTATTACCAAATATGTTTTCATTTTTCTTTTTCTTTTTTAATAAAAAAATTGAAAACTGATAATTAAGGGCTTGTTTGATAACCATTTCAATTTTAGTTTTAAGTTTTCATTTTTTGTACTGGAGTATAGAAGTAAAAGAGGGAGAATGGAAGTGAAAATGAGAGTGGAGACGATGAGATTGAGACAAAACATGAGGAGAATATGGGAAGGAGGAGTAACAAAAGTGAAAACGAAAACTAAAAATTGAAATCTATTTGAAATTGTTTTCACTTTCAACTTTTTGTTTTCACTTTTATTACTCCTCCCTCTCATCCTCCCCTTTCATCATTTCTCTCTCAATTTCAAATGGTTATAATTTCTTCGTCTAATAAGTAAACATGGAAAATAAATACATTAAATTTTAGCAGTAATAATGAGAATCCCTTGATTTTCCCTATATCAAACTCCCCTGGTCAGAAAAAACTCATCCTCAAATCTGAATTTTCGTTCACTCCATGATAATCTTGAAATTTAAATTTAATATAAAAACTCTGAATATTTATGCCTTCAAATTTTATGCGATCACAACAGCACAAAGTGCATCTTGTCAAGGTCAATAATTCAATTATAAGACATTACGAATACATTGATAAAATGTTTAAGACTATGTGCAACTTTTTAGCATTGTTTTCCTTCCTGTTTTTCAAATTGTAGCCATGAACCAACGAGAGGAAGATGGGAGAGAAAGTCGTCCCAATTATATTTACTCCTCATGTGTTAAGTTTTTCAACTTAATCACAGCTGTCTTGGTAGCGATCAACGGTGAGTACTATCAAGGCTTATGAGCAAGGCTTGACTTCTTAAAAGTAAGGAGGCGTGCATCTTCAAAGAAAATGGAATTTTGACACTTGGTAAATTCCAAAATAAAACAAAAAAAGAATTTGAAGGAAAAAAAAAAGGTCAAAATCCCATTTATCTTAGGAGGAGCTCCTCCTCAATTTTAAGGAGCCAATTGAAAGAAAATAATGTCATTAAGAAAAATCAATTGCACATATTTGTTTGAAACCCCATCAGGCATACTAAAGTTGGTTTTAATTTAACATGTCATCATTTGAATTTCTAGCAATTTGGAGGATAGATAAAATCCACGACGAGAAAAGGCGACATATATGGGCTACTCAGGTCATGAATCAATTGGTTGAGCATAGTAATTTATACAAGAACGTACAAAGTTCTGGAGAAGCTCCAGACGATAAAGATAAATTTGGAGATGTTCCTGATCCTACCGAATTTGGAGATGTTCCTGATCATACAGAGAAGAAAGGCAATAAAGAAGATGAGAAGAAGGATAATATGGTAGATAAGAAGGACAAAGATAATAAATTGGGAGATAAGAAGAGTGATAAAGATAATTTGGAAGTGAAAAAGCAGACACCAATATTAATTGCAGCAAAGATGGGAGTGAGTGAGATGGTGGAAAAAATCCTAGAAAAATTTCCAGTGGCTATTGAGGATGTGGACTCCGAAAATAAGAGTGTTGCACTGTTGGCAGTCGAGAACAGGCAACCCCATGTTTACCGTTTCCTAGTGGACAGGAAGAAACAAATCACAAGCTTATTACGTCAGGTGGACAACAATGGTAACAATGCGTTGCATCTTGCTGCTAAATGTGGAGGTCATCGGCCATGGCTTACTCCTGGTGCCGCACTACAAATGCAGTGGGAACTTAAGTGGTACAAGGTATCCTATATATCTAACAATAATCTTATTTGTTTTAATGAAGCACCATGTTTGTCTATTTTGTTGGTCCCAATTAGATGCCGTAATGATTTTCAATTTGCATGATTTGATCTATAAACGAAGATTTGGAAAATAAACGATTTTGATTGCTTTGAATAAAATTATTTGAGGAATCCCTCATTAAAAGGGATAAAATCAAGAATAATACAATATTTCAACTAAACACCTGAATTTTATAATGATAATCAAATAGTGAAATTGTTTCTTTTTCAATTGAGACTTAACTCAAACTAATAAGGTCATTAATTGAACAGATATCGATCTTTGAATAAAGTTTTAAATTATATAAATTTTATTGTGCATGGATGCAGTTTGTCAGAGAGTCCCTGCCACCTCGTGCATCTGTTCGCTACAACAAAGCAGGTCAGATACCACAGGAGATCTTCACAACTTCACACAAAGATCTTCGAAAAGAAGGCAGTAATTGGCTCGTCAAAACCTCCGAATCATGCTCTGTGGTTGCTGCGCTCATTGCAACAGTTGCCTTCGCAACATCAGCATCTGTACCGGGCGGACTCGACGATAAAACTGGTTCACCGGTTTTCAAAGACAAGCCGGCATTCGATGCCTTCACCATCTCATCACTGCTTGCTCTCTGCTTGTCAGTAACTGCCCTGGTCTTCTTTCTGTCCATTATTACGTCTCGATACGAAGCACATGATTTTTCCATCAGCTTGCCCCGGAAACTTTTGCTGGGTTTAACATCACTCTTCGCATCCATAGCTGCCGTGTTAGTCTCATTCTGTACTGGCCATATTTTTCTCCTTGATCGACAACTCAGATATGTGGCATATCCATTATATGCAGCGACTTGCTTGCCGGTTACCATTTTTGCTCTTGCCCAGTTGTCCCTCTACTATGATCTCATAAGAGTCATCTTCAGAAAGGTTCCACAGCGCAGCTACAAGGAATATAGACACTAATTAAGTGGGACTGGATCATCTATTCGACGCTATAAATAAATTGTGTTTTTCAATGTGTGAGTGTGTGTTTTGTTTTGTTTTGTTTTGTTTTTTTTTGGGAGGAAACAAGTATTAATTGGTTTGAGTGTGTGTGGTTTCAAACTTGTTTCCGGAGAGGTGAGGCTTTTGTAAGAAGTGTGCCCCAATTAAAACCAAGTCATATGATGTAAAACCCAGCTAAGATATATCATATATGTATGGTCAAGAATAAAATGGTGAAGAAATAAACAAAGATTGTTTTTATAAATAATGCCTGATCTCATAATTATATGCCATATGCATGATGATATATATTAAAAGATAATTAGGGTAGTACTTTTACCATGGAATTTGATTAAGGAAAAATTGATGCTTGTAGCATTATAACTAATGGTGGTACGTAATTTCTTAACGCCACACCACACAATAACATGAATCCATATTGACATAAAAGCTAGGTCCAGTTTACTGTGAGGAGGTATTCAACAATTTTTAATGAGTTTAAAAGTGAGGAGGAATTCAACTGTGACTTTTAAATAGCCTTTAAGAGTTGAGAGCTGATTTTTCCACTTATCTTTTGTCCACTTACATTCTCTTTATTGGAAATTGTATGTTTTCACTGTTCTTTTGTCTACTTACACTTCTTTATATGTTATAGTAAAAAGTATTAAAAAAACAAAATGACTTTTTTTTTTTTTGGTCGAAACAAAAGATAATGTAAATGGACAAAAAAATAGTTGAAAAATTAGCACCCAAAAGAAATATTAATTAAAAATGAAATGAGCTTTTCAAACTGCTTTGTTGTGTGTCCATGCAAAAGTTTTATGTATTTTTTATTTGCATTATACTGATATTCATACAGTAGTTTTTTTTTTCTTTTCAAAATGCTCATATTCTGTATACTTAATAAATATACAAAAAAATGATAAATAAAAAATAAAAAATTGGTGCTTGCTAACTATAAGATAATGACTTAATTTTGATCAATAATTTGAACTTATGACCTCTTTGGCATTACTTATTTGAGGCCAAAATCACTTATTTTTACAATTTTAGCTTTTCATCCTGTTTGATAAAAGAAGAAATAATCGCTTTTTCAGAGAAAATTGATGTGACTCACCGTGATTTGGTGAAGACCAAATAGATATATAAACAAAAGGAGTTAAAAGGCTACCACTAAGGGCCAGTTTGACATTGCTGTGTTGTGAAAATAATCGCTGTCAAATTTGCTGTGAAAGAAATCAGATGTGAAAGAAAGCAGTTTGGCGTTTGGTAAAATTTTTGTTAAAAGTGTTGTTGGTATTGATTTTACGCATAATCAGAAAATGATTGCTGCATAATCATGAAACCCAACATATCTTCGAAACTGATTCTTGCAAAATCAGAAAATGAAAGCACCTCATTAGCTGCTTTCCCTTATAACTTTATCTCACAGCAATTTTTAACAATAAGTGATTTTTTCGCAGTTTACCAAACGGGTTGGGCTTCTCAAAATATTAAAAAAATCACTTATCACCCCAAATAAGCAATGCCAAACTGGCACTAAGAAAACAAACTAAAAAAAGGGCACGAAAGACAAAAACCGAATTCTGAAGCACTTGCCTGGGGCCTCTGCAGGGAAACACCCTAACGGAGAAAATAAAAGACATTAGCGATTGACTTTGCTTTGTTTTAATTGGTTCACTTCAAGATCCAAACTTTTGATATATTATTTTAATCTCTTTGCTTCTTTTTTTGCCCTTTTTGGTCCAAGTGTTAAATGTTTGTTGGAGGATGAATTTGGGCTTGGGCCTATTAGAAAATGAATGCTGAAAATTTCTGTCATTGAAAATTAATTTTAAGAGCAGCTCCAGCGAGGGAGCCCAGCCCGAGTCTGGGAGGGAAAAAAAATGGCGCTCCAGCGGACAGCCCAGGTCCGAGGGAGGTGTGGGACCCACCAACCCGGGCTGGCCCGAAGACAACTTCCACTTCCCCCCGAGGTCCAAAACGAGGGGGGTGACGTCAGGCTGACGTTGACACGCGGTAAAAAAAATTTGAACCAACGTGCGCTGACCTCAGCGAGACGCAGGTCCAACGGCTGAAAGCCACGTGGCACGCCCCAGCGCTCCGATTTGCTTCCACAGCCTTCATCCAACGGCTGGCGTTTTTCCAACAATAAAATTATGAAAAAAAATCAAAAATTTTTTAAAAAAAATACTATAAAATACTTTAAAATTCTGATTTTTTTTTTCCTATAAATACCTATAAATACCCTTCACTTTCAACACCAATTCTCATACCATTAAATTATTTGGCATACCTTTTATGTATTTTTATTTTTCATGTTTTGTATTAAAGTTGGTGTACTTCATGTATTTTATTTTAGTAGTAGTAATTCTTAATGACTTGTATTGGATTTCTTTATTTAATAAACAAAGCATTCAATAAAAGACCATTTTATTCAACATATTCCATACATAAAAAAAAAACATAATTAAAATTAAAAAAAAAACTACAAGCAAGGCAAAATCTTATCTGAAATTTGAAATTCATCCGAAATTTGAACCCAAATTTATCTGAATTTTGAATTTTGAAATTCATCCAAAATTTGAACCCAAAAATTTATCTGAAATTTGAATTTTGAAATTCATCCGAAATTTGAACCTAAAAATCTTATTCCGAAATTTTATCCGATTATGAATAGTGTTGACACGTAGGAACCCGGAAATCTTATTCGAAAATATTATCCAAATTAATTATTGAGGTAAAAAAA